CGTTTTGTTTTTACCCAAAATAAGGGGAGGGGAGGGCTCCCCTAGATCCACTACTGATTTTGTTGTCAAAGAATCAATGTCACAGGATGGCAAATCCTAATCTTTCAAGATTTATCATTTGTAATCCGTCTCAATCTTCCCCGATCTTAACCATCCTTACCCTTTTTTAGTTTATTTGTACCTCTTTAATGTTTTTCTACCGGAGTAAGCTATTATTTCGAAGTTTCTTTCAATTGCAAGCAGTAGGCCTTTTTCAAGTTGTCTTTTGCCTCGGTGTCAAAACGAGTCTTCGGGCGAAACCACTCATATGAACATGTGTTTCTTCTACAGGTTCTTTTTCATGCAAATAAAACTCATTGCACGAGAACTCGTTTTCAAACAGAGGCACAAGGTAACTCGGAAATGGTATATTATGTTTCATATAGATTTTCCTGTTCTTACCTCCTTCCCAGGTTTTCGCGTAAACCGCTTTGCTGTAGTTCCCATTTTGTGTCGTGCGCGCTGCAACTCGGATCTTGTATCTAGTGAACATTCTAAGCCCAGTTAATGTAAATTCGTTGGTGTGCCTTGTCTTATTTTCTCCACTCCTTTTTGGATGCCCGTCTGCCTCATACTTTACACTGAATCCTTGGAAACCATTAATGGCTGAAATGTCTATAGAACTCCACTTTACATGAATAGTTGAATTCCCTGTGGCGTTAGCCGTGACATTTTCGGGAACAGTCGTCGGTGCTGAAAATAAAAATATGTTCCAATCCTTGTCTGGTGTGTCACAATTGAGGTATTTTTGCATTTAATACAGTTTCAGGACTTTCCTAGGTAAAAAGTTAAAAAGGCGGCCATACGGACTTTTACATAGTGATTTTTTGTGTCTGTAGAAGTTTGTTAACCAATTAGGAGATCTATAATGATTAGTCCTCATCCGGACAAAACAACTGCCCATAACTACCCCTCCACGGGGCTCTTCGGGTAATTGTCTGTGCGCAGGCGTACATGACCCTCTTTTGGACAGGACCCGTGTGTGGCCTATTGCCAACACACCTACCAAAACCTCAAAAGTGACCGTCTTGCAGCTGCTGGGACGATGCGACTTATAAACTTGTGCACTGATTCATACCCAGAATCTACCTGATGTCATTTTGCCTGTTGTCAATTTTGTTTTGTGATATCTCAGCAATCACTTTAAAGGAGCTCAGTCACGGTTTGCGCATATTGAAAAGTTTAGCTTAAATTCTTTAAATTCGTCGCTTGTAATCCGTGCTAATCTTCTCCATCCTTAGCCATCCTTGTTCCTTTATGGTTTATTATTATCTCTTTGATGTTTTTCCATCTTATTAAACTGTTATTTTCAGGTTTCCTACCATTTAAAGGTAATTTTGTATGTGGCCAAAATAACTCAAAATTCCGTGACTGAGCCCCTTTAAGTTTCAGTTCATTTCTCAGTTACCTGTTAAAAACAGGCCATTTCTCTGCCGACAGATATCATTTTGCCCAATTTCTAACTATTATTGGGGCGGGGGGAGGCGGCGGGATTAGCTGAACTCTATTCATATTCTCCTATTTGTAAGAAAAAAGAGAGAGAGCTTCTTGCCTAATGAAGACAAAACTTTGCGCAGCGGAGCTTCTTGAATAGACCAGTTTCGTATACTCGGTATTGGGCTGGAACTAGCTTGCAATGGAGGCTAATGCGGAGGAATATCATCTTAAAAACAGCGTTACGTCATTTGCATTTGAATAGATTGCCTGTATGAACCTCACTTGCAAGCTAGTTCCAGTCCAATACCGTGAGTACGAATATGGTCTATTGGTAGAATAACTCTCGGGGGAAAGGTGTTTTAGGAGCACTCTTAGGCGCAGAATTATGGAAAATTAATTCATCATCGTCCACAAACTTGCTCAGATTTCACTCATTAACTGTAAATGCCATTGTCTTACCCTCCGCGCCACAGAGCAGCGTAAATTTATGTCCTTCACTCGCCGGCAATGAAAAAATTGTTTTCTTTATACGAACCTGGCTGGTGAGTTGTCGTGTTTTTATATTCACTTGATGGACCTTCGCCCTTGGCCGTCGCGGCGAACACTTTAACAGAGTAATTTGTGTACTCTTGTAGGCCCTCAATGACCGCGAAAGATTTGCTCCCGGTGACATTAACAAGTTTGTCTTCTAATTCGTTCGTTAAGTTAAACACCTCAACCACGTAACTGGTGATTTCTCCATTTCTATCGCACTCCGGTACTGGATCCCATTCGACTTTGATGCTCGTGGTGCTGTGTGGGCTGGCTCTGACATTATTCGGTGGTTCCCCAGGAACTGTGGGATGGGAAAGCAGGAGCACATTACATTTGATATCTATGATTTCTCTGTCTGGAATTTGTCCAGTCATAACCATTATACTCACTTCCGATAATGCATTGAAACTGTTACTCGCCAACTCCAAGTCTGATTCTGATTAAGTGGCATTAAGGGCGTCACGTAATGTTACATAACAAGCAATGAGGACGTGCGGTAAGTGTGAAGCATCGAACAATTCGACTGCCTCTCTCCTAACTTTCGGAAATCAATCGGAAATTTTCGGCCGATTTTCATACGTTACCTACCTTAAAAATTATTTTCATCATTCCGTTACTAGAAGCCAACGGTCAGATAAAACCCTCACAGTAAAAGAACCGTAGCCTGTCTTCGGTAGGGTAACGTCTGCACACGAGCCAAGTGGCCCATCAGGCCGGAGCTTATACCGGTTTCTGTAGCATGAAGCGACTAACGGTATTTCTTCTCTCCCCTGGATGGGATGCCAGTCCATTGCAGGGTTACCCCAGCATTACGTTCGCCGGTACCCATTTTTACACCTTGGTAGAGAGAGGCACTGTGAGAGTAAAGCGTCCTGCCGAAGAGCACAACACAATGTCCCCTGCCAGGGCTCGAACTCGGACCGCTCGATCCGGAGACGAGCGCACTAACCATGAGGTCTCCCCTGTCTTCAGTACAATTGTTCAATGGTCAATGGTAGAGGTGCGGTGGCCTCATGGTTAGTGCGCTGGTACAAATGGGTAATGGCAAATATACTGTTTGGGGTAACACTGCCATGGACTAGCATCCAGTCCAGGGGCGATTAGAAATACTCCTACTTGCTTCATGCTACAGAATCGGGACATCTTCCGGCCTAATGGGTCACTTGGTTCGTATTCAGACTTTACCCACCTACGCAAGCAATTGATTGAGGAAAATGTAGATGTGATTGAAATTTTTTGAACGAAAATGTGACTCGAGTGAACTGACCAGTTGATTAAATAATCGATCAATTAATCGAGCAATCAATCAATCAATCAATCAATCAATCAAGTAATTCTTTTAGATTTCAAATTTCTTTTAGTACGTTTG